TGACAGCGGTCTGTCTGTTCTGGATTAACAACGTGTCACGTGTTCTGAATTGACCAATCAGAATCGAGTATTCAACAAAGCCATGTAATAATGCGACGCGGTCATTATGGGGAAAAGAACACCGACAGGCTGATCAGGAGCCCGACGCGAAGCGGAGGGATCTAGATCGGCATGATGTGTATGTATATAATCATGCATATGATTATATAATCAGTTGTCTGATTATATAATCATATGCGGGCCGCTAGTGTCTGTTGATCTCCAGATTAACAGCAGCATGAGAATAACCTGCCGAAAGTGCCGATGCTCCATGGCGGAGGCTCCGCTAGAAATTGCCGGGATTTGCCTTTTACCCCCTTAATGTCTGACCAATGGTTGAACAGCATTTCCGAGCACATGACTTGTGTTTAAAGTTTATAGTCCGTTTGAGTTTTGCCCGTGTGAACTCAAACCGAACCTTCTGAAAAATGAAACAATGTAACAAACTGTGGTCTGGTGCGCACCAGATATGAATGCACCCTTAAAGAGCAATTTACAGGTTAGACCAGGGGTGGGCAAACATTTTGGCTAGGGGGCCACTATGAGTTTTAAATTTGACAGGCGGTCCGGGCCAGTAGCAGATCGGTAAAAAAAATATTTAGCTGTCCACTCCTCATTATACACTCGGCACATGACTTTTCTTTTCTTTGGTCCACTCATTATTACAGATGCAGGTTCAAAGGTGAATTAGGTTCAAAGGTGAGTTATTGCATCATTGCGTCATCACGTAACCGTTTACATGCCTTCTTATGACCCACACAGCGTTTTACTTCGCTGATTTTCTCCACAACAACATCAATAGAGGACTGCGTCGGGTGGTTTTTAATTATACGAAGCCAGATTAAATTAAAGAACTACTTCTCCAACCTTGTACCTTTCTTCAGAGTGCCGTGGTGCATTGTTTATTAATGTGGTTCAGCTGCATTACTGCCCGCTGCAGTGCTGCTCGTCTACCGGAGTTTATTCTCCCTTTAACTTGTGGCAGCGGCGCGCTGTAAAGTTTTCATTGTCTGACTGTCACAAGCAGCTGATAAATATCCCCCATCCCCATAAGGGAATGTGTTTTAGTCTGAAAGCTGTTTGGCATCACAACGCTGTTATGAACGTTTATCTGGCATTCTACAGGTGATGTTAGCTAATCAGACTATATTGACTTCTTGTTGCTATCATATACGTAAGCCGTTTTCTAAACGCATATTTTACCGGCGTAGTTTTCGTTATGATTTTACATGTGATGGCCACATGTAGCCCATGTATTGATTCCATCCGATAGCTGCAATAATAGGCCTACAAAACAACAGGAAAACGTCTGCCTCTTCACAATGGTCAATAACAGTGAACGGATGGTTATTAAAGTAAGGTCAAATAAACAGAATCACACTAAGCCTGGTTAGTGGTGCCTGACTTTATATAAGTGCTTTTTATAAGTGTGTGGTCGCGTTCTAGTCACTTTGCTCAGCGCTACTGCTTGTTACAACTTGTATTCGCCGTACTGAACTATTGCTCAGGTTCATCTCGCCCCCTCCAATGTAGCCTAAGCGTGAAATATGTGGTTCTTTGGTCTTGCCGGGTTGCCGAGTGGGGCCAGAGAATAGACCAGACTCCAGCAAAGGTCAATTGTGTCTAGAGTGCACCATCTATGGGATCAACTGAAATGCCTGGTATTGCAGGAAAAAGGCTAAATGAATGCGGTCTTTACTATAATTTGGACAATTTTGTACCAATATTCGACGGGCCGGATTCAAAAGCCCAACGGGCCGTATATGGCCCGCGGGCTTTAGTTTGCCCATGCCTGATGTAGGATCTACAACCAGGTTTTTCTTACTGTGGTTCAAAATGTGCTTCTGACATGAGGCTGTTAATGAGAGAATGTGGTTTCTGGAAGACAGCTGTCACCAAGAACTGTGTTCATAAGAGACAGTGCTACACGACAGCACACTTTAAAATATCTGACAGAATTCTGCTTCTAAAGAATTGGGGATGAATGAGATGCCATAAAAAGAAAAACTGCAGTGCCTTTGGGCAAAGCAATGAAACGGTCCAAAGCTCCAGTGGAAGCTGTTTGTTGGCAGAAATTGTGCAATCTCCAGCTCATAATGTGCTCGTTCAAAATTAATATGTACCACAGTATAAGCCAGTTTAATCAGAAGAATCTGCATCCCATGGCAACAGTGATCCTTTCAAATGTGCATTGCCTTTTGTATACTAGCACAGCGTGATGCTGAATTTGAAACCGAGCGACAGCGGTGTAAATAGAGCTCTGGTGGCTCTGGATAGGAAATGAGTCATGACACAGAACTGTAGGCAGTCCTGGCATTACAAAAAAGACATTAAAGCGGCAACATTCTTCCATTCAACTTGCACCCACAACACCCATTTTGGTCATCACCCACTGCCTGTATGTGTGTGTCTGTTGCATAACCCACATTGTAATTTTTTATAATCCGGTGTTTCAGATTAAAGTAACAAAGAAAAGCGGTGCTTGTTCAGCCAAGATATTTAACCAGCTTTGTTGTGGAAGGTGAGTCACCTATGAGGGATACTTGTAATAAAAAGCATGACATTGTAAAAAATTGCATCTGAAGCAATTAATAGAGCTGAGACACCGGAAGTGTGCTCAAGTGCAAATAAAAAGCCTGCTTTCTTTGTAAAAAAAAACTTGTGAAATTGATGTTTGGCATGGAAAGATTTGCTCTGGAAAACTGACACATAAGTGTTGTACTTTCAACTGCAGTGGATGTAGCCAAATGTAACCTCCATGGACTCAAACACACAGCAAAATTCATTAGAGAACCAGTGCCTTTAATTGCAGAAACTGAGTCAAATAAACTTCAAATAGTTTCTAGTTTTTCCCAAAAATAATATAAGTATGAAGACCCTTTTGTCTGGGGAAATGTCCTGAGTTGGTCATGGTTGGTCAGATGGACCCATGTCTTATGGGGACCATAAACCCTACATGTCTCTTAAAAGATAGTCAGTGCCTTAAAATGTGATTGGTCTCTTAATGCTGCCATTGATGTTGGACTAGTCTTTGCGGATAGTCTGTTTTTGATTTTATTTGATCTCTTTTGCTTTTAAAATCTGCTGACACTTTGAGGGAATGTATGGTAGTGGTAAAAAGCTTGCAAGCTTCAATGGTGGAGTGTGTTCCTCTCTCCCCTGCTTGTACTTGTCCCCTCCCACAATGCACTAATCAGGTGTGCTGATCCCAACAGGAGCGAGAGAGTGTGGCCGGGGGGCCGTGGCCTGGGGGGCGTGGCCAAGGGAAATGTTTTGGGAGGGAATTTCAGGTTGCGGTCGAATAGTCCATTTTGCTAAGGAACCTTTCTAACGGAGTGAAATGACACGAAAGTACCTCAGTGGCAGCCATGATAAATGCCATTCAAATTCTCTAAATGATTTTAAAACGTATGTTGTAACTTGCCTAAGTGCTTTGTTTTGAACATTCATCAGTATTATAATCAAAAAGAGAAATATGAACGTAGGCCTACGTTTGTACTGAAATTATCAAATAAAGTCAACATTTCACAGAGTTTTTACTGAGCTGTGTGGGGTTTGTTAAACTTTTAAAATATGTTTTAATAATGGTGATATACACAGTGATAGATGTTAAGGACTAACGTTTATAATAAATACATTTGTATTGATTTTAAGATCTTTTCATATAATAATACGTATTGGGATCATTTGTAACCTATTAATGTGGACGAGGGAGAGGGTGGCGAGCATAAGCTTCACTTCCCTTTTTTATTTCAATTTCAATTCCAACTTTGGTCATGAAGAATATGTTTCTCTGTTGTCCACGTTCATAAAGCATAAAACAACACCATCAGAGCACGCCGCAGAGTCTCTAGATGAGTTTACAGTAGTCCGTCGTTCTTATTAAGCATCCATGTTGTAGTCCGCTGTATAGAAAACTGTAGTTTCCCCACAGCAGCAGACGCACATTCATGACGTCCGCTGGCGCATCATAAACACGTTGGATAGTAAAAGTCCAGTCGGATTCCCTAAAGTACCGCAGTCTCTTCTCCTAAGTCCTTTTAAATTCTCCTATCCACTATCCCTTAACCCCGCGACGTTTCACACAGAGGTCAAGCGATAGACGATAGGGATATACACGTTAGGAGCTGATTTTTGGACTATTCGATCGCAACCTCAGTTTAGTTATGTTGTTTAACCCTTATGTTGTGTTTGGGTCTCCCGTGACCCGTTTCAAGTTCAAATTAAATAATAACTACGCTCTAGTTTTTTATCGGAACAAGGCTTCATGATATACTCCACAACAGCTATAAACACTACAAAACCGATTTTGACAATGTTTGCCAAGTCTGAAGGTCTCTAAAAAAAAAGTGTATAATTTGGTATATTCTAGCATGTTGTATAACATTGGACTATCTTGTATTATACTGATTGGCCTTGGTGGGGTTTAGAGGTTTAAGAGTTGGCCAGTTCTTGTAAATAATCAAGTGGCCATTTTTCCAGGTATATTGTTATGCCTTTGTTCGGAGCCAAGTTCCTCTTCATGCATTGTTGTTAGTAAAACATGTTGCCCTATAGTGTTTTCTTTTGGCTACATTTAAATCAACATTATTAACAATACAACTAACACACAGTTAGCCTTCAACTTCTTATTTGTAACTGGGCTTAAAGGTTATACACGGAAACTAGAGAACATCTAGCTTAAAGTAATGATCAAACTTAATTCCTGTTGACTTTGGTGTGCAAATGATTGCACTAAAGCTATTGAGCCGAGGTGAACTGTTTATTCTGTCAGCAGGGCAGAACGAGGGTGACAGATTAAAGTTTACTTTTCTAATTTGTTCATTTATTTGTCTCATCCTACAAGACTTGAAGAAACATCTTTAATTACTCTGTCTTTGCCTCTCTTCCTCTGTATGTGTCTCCTTGGTTAATTAGGAGGAATACATGTTAATGGGATGCTGCTAGCACACTAATTAAGATTCTGATTAGAGCGAAGATACTGTCAGCCAGTCGCAGTGTGTGTGTGATTGTGGGTGCTTATTTGTGTGTGTGTGTCTTCCTGTTGGCTTGCTTGTCGAGGAAGTAACCCGAGCTCTAACGTACACTGGAGGAACAGATTCCACAATATACTCTTTCTGTTTGTACTCAGGTTAGAAAATGAAACAGATTCTTAGCTAGAATGCTCACCTACTTACTTATTCAGCCAGAGTTGGAATTTTTGTTTATTTGTCTTTTTGTCTGTATTTGCACATTTGTGTTTTTGACACTTGACAGTGTGTGTTTTCCCCGACTCAGACTGCAAGGAATCTGGGTGTGACCCTAGATAACAAACTGTCCTTCACTGCAAACATAGTTGCTACAACCCACTGCTGCAGATACACTCTTTACAACATCAGGAGAATACGTCCCCAGCTGACCCAGAAAGCGACGCAGGTTCTGGTCCAGACTCTTGCCATCTCACGCCTAGACTACTGAAACTCCCTCCTGGCTGGTCTACCATGTGCCATCCGACCTCTGCAGCTCATCCAGAATGCAGCAGCTCGTCTGGTCTTCAACCTTCCTAAATTATCCCACACCACGCCGCTCCTCCGCTCCCTTCACTGGCTTCCAGTAACTGCTAGAATCCACTTCAAGACAATGTTACTTGCGTACCATGCTGCGAATGGATCTGGCCCTTCCTACATCCAGGACATGGTTAAACCATACACCCCAGCACGTGCACTCCGCTCTGCATCGGCCAAACAGCTCGCTGCACCCGCACTGCGAGGGGGACCCAAGTTCCCATCAGCAAAAAAACGTGGGTTTGCTATCCTGGCTCCAAAATGGTGGAATGAGCTCCCCATTGACATCAGGACAGCAGAAAGCTTACACATCTTCCGGCGCAGACTGAAAACTCATCTCTTTCAACTCCACTTTGAGCGATAGAACTATTAACAAAGCACTTATATACTAATAAAGGACTGGCTTATCTAATGGGGTCACTTTGACCTTGATGCTACCATTTGTAGACTTTGCTATGTTTCTTACTGCTGAAAGCAAATCCAAGGTTTGATCCTCATGTGGTTCATCGCCCATAGCAACAGTGTATTGACAAAAGCCAAAAAAAGAGTCATATTAACTATAGGTTACTTACGTAACCCCAGTTCTCAGAGTAACATGAAGTGAGATGTCTCACTATGGGATGCGCCTCATCGCGGAGCAAACAGAAGCATCAATCTCACATACGCCAATCCTGATTGGCAGGTGATCTTGACGTCAGCGTCAGGGAATCCACCCCCTATAAGTAGCTTGCGCTNAATACTCGGCACTCAATGTTGACTTTTCTTTTCTTTGGTCCACTCATTGTTACAGATGCAGGTTCAGAGGTGAATTATTGCTTCATTGCGTCATTACGTGACGTAATGACGCAATGAAGCAATAATTCACCTCTGAACCTGCATCTGTAACAATGAGTGGACCAAAGAAAAGAAAAGTCAACATTGAGTGCCGAGTATTTAATGAGGAGTGGACAGCTAAATATTTTTTCACCTATCTGCTACTGGCCCGGCCCGTCTGTCAAAACTCATAGTGGCCCCCGAGCCAAAAAGTTTGCCCACCCCTGTCCTACGTCATACTTTTTGAGTTAGCTCATGGTGATGCAACATTCCCATTTGTCATAAAAGGAATCTATAATCTTGTCTACATGACTAGGAGGTAGGAGGCCTTAGCATGAGTAAGACATTTAGATGGCCAATCCATTTGTCATTTGGCAATATTTAACTCAATGTATATGACAACATCATGTTTCAGGTATTGGTATAGTTTTTGTAGATCTTAAACCCAAAATATTGTTGAATCAACTATGTTTTAATCTATGAAACTTCTTAATAAATATAAAAGGACCTCTTATATCCTCGGATATACTTTTAAATCGATGTAATAAAAGCTCATGTTTGTATAGTAGCTTGATTAAACTGTATGTTGGTCTAAAGCAAAAGAGAAAAATAGACGAGGCTGCACTTGTTGTTGGACCAATTTCACATTTGGCTCCAATATCCCTTAGATCATTAAAGTGTTAACATGAAACTCCTTAAGTTTGGTATGTAAATGTTCTCATGGGGAAATAAACCACCAAATTAACTCTGGGTGCACGGAGTGGAGTAGACGTGAATTGAAAAGAGGCATCTGTTATATCTTGAGACTTTGAAAAGGCAGCAGCAGTTTTATTATATTCTACAGATTTAATAAACCAGACTGCCAGGAATCTTTGCTAATTTAAAACCTCCCGGAGACTCTGACAAGCCTCCTTGTTCACAGCCAAAACCATGTTCTGCTCTAAGCTACACTTCTCCTTTGACAGCCCTTTTCTTCAAAAGTGCACAAGCTGTTCGGCCTTTGGTTGTAGTCCGTAGACACACTTGTTGTATCGTACAAAGGCAACAAGTTATTTTGATTATGATTTATTGTTTACACAGGGCTGAGTATTTGGTAAGATGCCATTTTGACCAAAGATAAAATAAATATTGCAGCAAAGACAATATGTGCAGGGATAAAACTACTTTACACAAGTTACCACTTTTGCTTCCTTGTGTATTGCACTAATTGTAATATCTTACAAATAAAACACATCTTTAAAAGCTGTGTGATAATGGAAATAACAAATTAAAGTATTTGATGTAATGTTAATACATCGCATTTATGGACTGGAAGGAGAAACAACAGCCAATGAGAGAGGGCTATTGGTTGAAATGTGCTGATATAATACTACTCTAGGAGTACCAGCATCTTGTAGCAACAGACAGGCATTATTTACCTAAACAATGTAATGTGTACTGATCTGTATTATGTGAAGCCTTGAAATTAAAATGCAAATGCCTGAGCAGTGGCTTGGAAAATGTAGCTGCCTATTGCCAGCAAGTGGAGAAGCGACCTTGAATATAATGTGCTTTGGTTAATTGAGAATCAAGCAAACTTCGGCCAACATTAAATCCACAAATTAGCATCTGCACAAAAACATTTGGTCAATTAAAATAGTCTAGCTTGATTTTGTTAACTTTTTCTCCCAGAATATTGAACATTTGAGGGGGAAAATAACACATTTCGTCCTACATTGACGCACAATATCCCTTTCCTTGATTTTCAACGCACTGTGTAGCCCGATTCAAACCATGTCCACAGTAACAATTTTGTGAATTCAAACAAAACCACTAAGTAACGTTCCAGTAACACTAACAAAAAAACACTGAATTAGGTTTAGAAAAAGATCATGCTTTGTGTTGAAATAAATAAATTAACTTTAGTTTCCCATGGGACACAAACAGCCATCTACTGGGTGAAAGTCCTAAGGTCAAATAAGTTACAAAGCACTTGCTCTGAGCGTCTCATATATCTGTGAACATCTCTTTTTGGCACTCTTGGAATGAAGCCAGGTTGCTTTTAAATGGTTCCAGCTCAAATAAATGTCAGGACAGACTTTGAAATTACCAAAATGAATGATGGTATTTGGAGTTCTTCTAGCATGATAACATATACTGTAATGTATGTTAACCTGGTTCTGATCTCATTAGGTTTTTTTGTGAGCAACAAATGTTGATTAAAAAATGTTCTTACCTGCCCCATAAACCACTTATATAATATGTATTTTTTTTCTTATTTTGTCTCAACAAAGAATGTAATTTATCTCACTCAATTGTTTTTCTTCCCCCGACTCAGGGTTACAATAAACACACTGAATTAGAACTGTATACAATATTTATTGACAATGTATTCATTAGGTTTTTCATAGTAAAGACAGACACTGACTTTCACAGGGCTTATCTTTGAGAAGGGTATAGCTCTGGGTTTCTGGGAATGTTCTCGTGAGTGGCACATACAGGGATTGTTCAAGGTGGAGGGTGTTGAGAGGGTAAAAAGGATTGATGCTCCTTGGAGTTTAGTCCAGGGTAGCATGAGGCTAAGGCTTCTTCTGTGAGTGTGTGCAAACATACACTGTCACCAAGATGTGTCATTTAGGCTTTTAGGATGTCAGTCTGTCCCAAGAGAAGACTCTGCTGTCTGATGAAAACCTTGCATTCCCAAAAACCTTAACTTTCCAGGAATGAAGAGAAAAAAAAGCCATTTTTAAACCATAATGTATTTTGTTTTACTTTATACATGGGACCATGACAGGATTTTGTAAGCATCTATGTCATTAGGTTTTCAGAACCCCTAGAGGACAATATAATCATCATATAAATGTGAAAATTGCCAAAATTGGATTTACAAGGTTTTGCGAAACAACAGTGTTTGCAGTTGTTTTTTTACACAGGAGTATAGAAGTATAAAAATATATGAAACAAAAAAAGCGCTGTGAAGAACAAACACATTATTCAAAGTGTAGAACTTATGAAGCAGACCTTTCTTGGCAGTAGCCGGTGGGAACACATGCCTGTTTGGCAAACATACATCCACTACACACTCTTACACTCAAACACACCATGTCATACCACATACAGTAGTTTTTCTGAAAATAAGAAATATATTCATTTCGGGTTGAGACATGTTTATGGCTAAGGTTAATTTAATACATTAATGACTTATTTCTAAGGTCCTTAGATTCTGCCAATACTGAAAATATGTTGGATACTGTCAGAAGTGTAAATGTGTATTGCATCTGGTAATATAGGAATGTTGTCAAACAGAGGAAGCAAACACATTACATCTGAAACAAGCTCACTAAGGTACTTTTTCTTAAGTACAATGCAGGAAGTCGTAGTTTGTTTTTGTAGTGTTGTTTGTAGTGTGAATTGTGCTGTCCTGAGATGGTTTACTTTCGGGCTAATCCAAAGGCTTTTCTAGCCTCCTTATTACTTGACCCTTAGTGTGTTTGTGTGTGTGTTAGTTTGTTTGTTTGAAACGGTGGTGTACATGATGCGTTATTTAGCTGATCATTGGTACAATAAATTGTAAAACTTTTGCTGACATATTACAGCAAATACATGCTGTAAAAGAATATCAACTACATTCATGAATATATGTTACATTTTGTCAAACCCAAAGGTATGTGCTTTAACAAATAGAGCAAAAAAAAAAGCAAAGAAAAAAGTGATCATGTGACACTGCAAAATAGACTATTTACATTGTTTCACATCAGCCTTTTTCATTCTCTTAACGTTACAGTATAAATTATATTTCAAATGTCTGTTTTCTCCTTTATGTTGAAAGCTCATAGGTATTTATTTACAGGAATAATATTATCCAATTGAGGATTAATAATATACTATCTGATATATACATACTTATCTAAATATGCACATTTGAGTTCAATTCATCCTCAAATATAAAAATGCACAATGCCAATAATAAGGTGATTATTCGATAATCTATAAGGATCTCTTCGCACATTTTACTTAATTACAAAATAAAAACAAAAAAAGGTCAGAAGAATTTAGTTTGACATAATCACCAGAACAATTAAACAACTCCCAAAACGAGACTTTATAATTTACACACAATGCGCAGATTTCAATTCCTAGATCAACACAATGTGAAAATGGTTAATTTGGATGACATGTAAACACCAGTGAGGTTAATGTAGGTTAAAACTATGCACACTGTTTAATCAAAGTTTCCATTGGAGTTGTTGGGCAGTGCTTGTAAAAATGCATTATTGTGTTATTCTTAAAACAGTTTCAGCTGTAAATGCTTATTAGAAAAATGTAAATATCTTTTATACCATCATCAATATTTGAAATATCCATTAGACATACTTTTTATAAATTGCAATTACAGAATCATGTATGCTCATTTGCGAGGTCAATTGAACACAAAAAGCACAAATGAAATGAAACAGTTCAGTGAGAAAAGGAGAAAGTGAGATAAAAACAGAATATCAAAGAGTTACTACTTTACAGATCATGCAGTGAGACATAACTGTATGTGGCTACATTTTAAGTAAAGAATTACAATATAAATGTTCAAAGTGTTTACTCAAACCATCACAATCAAAATGAATGGCATACAAGTAAATATTCATCCTTTGAGTGAGAACTTTGTTGTTTTAGGTGAACTCGAAAGAAGCACTTGAGACAAACAATGCAAAAGCTCTTGTTCCTATCATTTCAATTTATCTTTGAAATATGTTTGAAGTTTCCTATTTTCCTTAAATCTATTGACTGTACTTATATGCAATAAAAGAGGCTATAACAGCAGAATTATTCATACGGGCAGTGTGGAAAATCAATGGGAAGAGGGATGGTACACTCTTTATCGCAGCCCTAGTCGTGTTTTCCTACATTTAAACTTTGTTGGAACTGAAACAAGTATGATTGTAGTCATAATAATAAAATTCCTTTTAAGATAGCCCACATAAGCACCAGGTATGTGAAGAACTAGGTACAGCCTCTATGGCTTTTAAGAACTTGTGTGCAAAATCCTTTATAAAATCTTCATTGTGTACACAACGTCAAAAGTACAGCATCATTTGTAAATAATCTGTAATTACCTGTTGTATGTGGACTAAAGGCTATGACCATCAACTCATTTTCAATCTGGAAAAAATGACTTATTGGCTTTAAATTGTGATTATAATATTTTAGCTTTGGAGGCAGATACATATATAAAGTCATTGGCAACAAAACGAAAAACCTAGCATAAAAAAATGATATTTAAATATTGTCTTAAAAGCTGATATTTGTGCTTTTTTGCCTTCTGGCAGGATCAATGGCGTCAGTTTTAAGCTTTACCATCCGTGTTCTTCTTGAACCGAGAAAGTGCCTTTTCGGCATTTGAGGACATTTTCTTCTGAGTTGGTAAATATGTTTCCAAGAAAATGGGAATAGAAGGCTGAAGTCAGACAATTTTTGGTCATATTATAGATATACTAAAAGGTATACAGGTGATGTTTACATAAACAGTTATAGACTAAACTACTTTCTTCAGACAAATCATCCCCAAAGACATCCATACTGTGTGAATGGACTTTGAGGTGAAGGTCAACATTTTGATTATAATAATATATATGTAAATCCAATTTGGCTAAACACAAACATTAGATTCCTTTACTACATTTGTTTCTCTCTTTCTGTTCTTTACTCTCTTCCAATGGACAGAGTGGACAGATAAACTAATGACAATCCACATTGGCTGTATTAGCTTTATGCTTATTTACATTATAACATTTTTGACTTTCAACAGGCTTTTGAGTGCAATTGAGTTCAAACCTGGACGTTTTGGAATGTTCTTAGTTGATATTTCTCATTGTTACCCTATTTAAATGGTCTATGAACTGAGAAAATACTTAGAAATAAATGATACAGGGCTGCCAGTTTATTAGTAGAAAGTAGAAAATGTTTGATCTAAAATATATTTTACATTACATGATATTGTAAATATTGAACATCAGGCCCTTGTAATATTAATAGGAAAATTAGTTTGAGTAAATTGACACAGATAACCTTAGAAAACCCTGCTGACGTTAATTTGCTCCAGCACTTTTTGAGTAGTTTCAGTGAAAGTAAACAAATCCTTTAGATATGTCATCTTGTCATTTTTGAATCTGAATGATATGATATTTTGGCAATGAATTATGTATTCTGTAAATTCAAAGTAATACAAACGTAAACAATATGCAAACAAACATTTAAAAAAAGTGTGAACATACAAATTTCCCAAACATGTAAAATTTAAACAAATAGTCGGGAACAGGCACCTTATATGTTTGTAATCTCTCTTCTATAAGGTTTTCACGTGTTAGCCAGCAAATGCAGTATTCCAAGTTATGATGGATCCAGTCCTGAATATAGTATTTCAGTCCAGTATTACAAGATCACATAAAAATGAAACAAACCAGAAACAAACAACAAATGACCTAAGTATTTTGCTGTTTGTTCTTGCCTTCACTGATGTCCTTATTCCCCTTTAATTGACATAATAAAGCCAGTAAACAACGTTGAAGAAGGTGAAGACAGTTGGGAAGATCACCCTCGACCACTTGTCAATAGAGTTTACATCAGTCAAGTCTGGGATGTTGATTTTTAGCTGAGAAGCGCGCCTCCGTAGTCGGCTCTTCTTTTGAGTCATGTGGCACTCCAGCGTGTTTCTGCCATAGTTGTGCCTGGCCAGCCCTGTTTTGCGGTACTGTAGAGTTGAGCTGTCGTATGTCAGCATAGTATTTCTTGGGTCATTGAGACCCAGTGCCAGCTCGGTAACGCCCATGTCATTTTTGATGTCCAGGGTGCCCAAAAGAATGTTTTCATGTGGGTCCATCTGGAAAAAATAATTAAGTTTGTCTATAGTTTATTGATATCATGCAACAATATTTATTATCTGATAAAACACATATACACAATGTCAAACAATGAAGTACCAACATTTAATTTAAAGATCTATTCTGTGCGACCACACCATACAAGATGGGCCTTTTATTTGGAGTTGTGTTTTCTTGTGGGATTGCCCATAACAACAAAAATTCAATACTAAATCGGCTTGTTGTGTACACAGCCACATGTTTGGTTACTCATTATCAATCTTATTGTGCTGCAGGCAATTGGTCAAAAAGTCTTAATGTTATTGAATAGTAGCATGTCAACACCATTTAAGGCTTTTGCAGTACCTTATTCCGTTGATCGCCAAGTCCCATTGCTGCGTCATCCACAAAGATTGGTTCCCACATCGACTCATGACCATCAAGATCCCTTTGTTTCATTCTTGCATACAGAGTATCATCTCTGCCAACTACATTCCCCACCAACCACTGCAAGGAAACATAATTGTTTTACTCTTCACTTGATATTACAGGACATTCATCCAACCATAGACTTATAATCAGCAGGTCCATTCGCAGCCATGTTATCTTGGTTATGGCGGCCATGTTGTATCTCTGCTTGTAGGCATTTGGTTCATGTCATCTGGGAGAAAAGTCTGAGTAAGTGAATGCAACTAACTTCCATCAAAACAAAGAGCCAAGTGGCCCTGAGACCTCCTTCCCCATCATTTCAGCTGGCAGAATGTCTCATTTGGATTTGAATAATTGCTAGTACAAGTTTATTAGGATGACTTCCCTTGGCACAGTGAAGGCAGGAAACATTAGGTCAACCCTCCATTTGAAGTGTTGAGACTTCTTTTATGTTCTAGTAATTATTTTGAGCTCCCCAGACAGCTCCATTAATAATTAAGATACAATTTCATTGCAAAGTAAAGAAAATGTGTAATTTTGTAAATCTAGAGCAAAGAAAAAGAAAAGCGTTCACTTGAGAAATAGAATGTAAGACTTGTGGAAGCTCATCTAGAGTTTGTGCTTTCCTCTATGTATGCAGAATTGGAGTTTTATAAAAAAATAGGTCAACAAACTAAAGAGGCAAGCTAATGTACCTTGTTTGGATCCATCCTCATCTTTTCGTTGTTGGCTACACTTAGTTTCTCAGCTGCTCTTTTCTGACGTTGAGGGCCCCGTCCAAAGAAGATGTAGTTTACCAGCGCATACTCCAGCAGAGCCATGAAGACGAAGACGAAGCAGCCCATGAGGTACATGTCGATAGCCTTGACATAGGGGATTTTGGGGAGGGTTTCTCTCAAATGGGTGTTAATGGTGGTCATGGTGAGCACAGTGGTGATTCCTAAAAGAGAAAGACAAATGCATTGCATCACATCTAATCATCGTTATAGACAGTGGTGTAGTGGGCGTTGGACGCGGGGGTACGCCGTATCCCCACTTATTTGAAGCGTGATTTCTTTTTTTAATAGTCTAATACATCTAAAATAATTGCCAGTGTTATCAGTTGCAAGTGTGTATTTGTTGTAATAATGACGAAAACATAATTAGGCATTTTTCACAGTAATTATAATAAAAACGTAGCTCAAGCATTTATGCAACTTGATTTGAAGCGTGTGTGTGTGTGAGGGGCAGTACCATGTGTGCGCGTGTAGGGTGACCAGGTGTCCCGCACTGTGGGACTGCACACATAGCATTTTTATTATTTGTCCCGCGTGCCACAAATTGGAACTATGTCCCGCATTTGAGTAACAGTCGCGCAGAAAGGCCGGATCGGTTCGCTGACAGCCGGTACCGCCCTTTATTATTATATTGTCTAAACGGCATCATGTAAATTGCGCTGACAGGCGATACAGAGGTCCTCCCCCCCCCACCATTGACAGTTCACGAGCGCGTCCATAGTGTCTCCCGTCCACCCAACACCCCCGCCCCGTCCGCCCAGTAAAAAAATCCCCACTACACCACTGGTTATATAGATACTGCATGAATAACTCAATGTCGAAAACAACATGTATTAAGTTCACCTGAAACTCTTACATACTGTTCACTTCTGAGTGTGTGACAGACTTAATCCTTCCCACCACACAACATCTTTTTGATCCACATGATACCATGTCTTTGCTCGATTAAGCCTGCCAGGGTCAATAAACCCGAAAGGCTTACCACCATGACTTGGGAGACAAGCTAAAAGAGGCACACCTAAAGTGCTGCAGCGATTTGAAATTCAAATGTCAACCTTGGTCTTGTTCATTAGCAGAGATTTCCAACTGAGAAAAGTTGTGGTCAGTTTTCAAAACGTCGCCCAGCAAGCTGTGCAGATAGTTTCTCTCAAATTGACTGTGAATATCAATGGGGTACGTTTCTGCTTATTATGAGTGATATGGAAACACAGTGATATCATTTCATATTCCTGCTGTTTTAGCAAAGCACAGCCTCTTTGAGGTAGTGTGCCTACCATAGTGTGTGTCTAAGGTATTATCTATATGCAAGAATTATAACTGGCATGAAAGCAATGATTCTTAAGCCTCAATGTGATTTTCCTTGCATGACTAAATAATTGCATTCTCTGCTCCTACAGTATGGCGCTCATAAATCCCCCAACACGCACCTGTATATTCTACTGTTAAAGCACAGAAAGCATGATTATTTAAGGCAATTTCGATTGAGAGTCTCAGTAAACAATTACTAAATTATTTTACAGCTGTCACAAAGCTGTGACCACTGCTCAAAATAGGATTCAGGCGATTTTCCCAAGCTGTTGATGCAGAAGCTTAACAATAACAACAAAGGATTCCTGCAACACAGTGGCCATGTGTTTCAGCCATTACAGGTCCTCTTTAATGCTTGAAACCAGGTCAGGGTAAAGTGGTGCCTGGATCTAGTGTAGATTGGGGGGCGACCTTATATCTCGCAACTCTGTTGACCCGCCTCCATTATGGCGCATTACCTTTTTTTTCATTAAATCCCATGCATGCCTTCCCCTGGATCGCTAAATGCAGCTCAGTCGTCAATCAGCGAAATTGCCTTGTCGACTAAAGCTAGGGATGGGTAGATGGATGAAGCTGGGTGGATGGGGCAGGGTGAAAAGAAGACAGGGAGCTTCCGATACACACAGAGTAAGCTAGAAGCTCAATACAAACCTCGCAGGCTACACAGGGTTTACATAATTGAGGATGACGGGGGGAAATTGTGACTTCCAGAAGAGCACAGGGGCTCTGAAATAAGAGTGAAAACAACTCAAACTGGTCATCCATCATAATACGTGAGAGGAACAGTTACATTTGTGGTACTGGGAATGGTTATTTGACCCTGAACACACAATCACTGTAAAAGGAGTGAAACAAAGTGTGTTTGTGGATCGGTGCAGTGCTATTCTTTACTGAAGGTTTAAAGATCATGTATTAAAAAAAAGGAAAAATATAAAATACAAGATGCATCATTTATACAATACGTACAATTCAAGGCTTTCACCGCACTGATCAGTTCATCTGTAAGGAGTTTTAGATTTTTGTCGGAAAAAGGCAGTATTTTATAAAGACTATAAACTCTTGTCTGAATTTTCAATGTTTAGGTTTGACACTGGTTTCTTGCCGGAGATAGTGTGAAATGTGCCTTTCTTGTCCCACATTGCACTTCAGGTGAATTTTATGAATGTGATGATGTAAAGAAGGGAAACATATCACATAAAAGCAATGTGTAACTGTCACTGACCCATCTATAACAGACCAGGGCAATCTTCCACCCCGTCATCTGACAAAATGTCTATATTTGCATTGCAGGCCTCACCTAGAGCCACTCTGGCAGCAGAGGCGTCATAGTTGATCCAGAAGGAGACCCAAGAGAGGATGGTGATAAGTATGGAAGGCATGTATGTCTGCAGGATGAAGTACCCAATGTTTCTCTTCAGCTTAAAACTCAGGGACAGACGAGGGTAAGAACCTGCAGAGAGGGGATGGGAAGTGGAAAAAAGCAAGCGGAAGTGTAAATATTAAAAAGTAAATATTGTAATCATTTATTTTGTTGGGGGATGGGTTATTCAATCTACAATTTCCCTGGTCAAAACAATGAAATCGAAGATATTCACTGAAAAGCAGAAACCAGTAAATGTTTAGCACTTTGGGTTGATAGCAAAATAACAGTTTGATTTCTAACTTTGTTGTGAAGGCATTTTCAATTTAGATGGTTCTCCTCTATCAGTTCTTCCTCCGAGTTATTTATAAGTCTCTCTGACCTGAGTGTCCATTGTAGAAGCAACCCAGTAAAAGGCTTTATTTGTTGTCCCTTAAATAGAGCACTCTCCTGATTTACCTGCTCTCCAGTTCCTGTGGTTATACAAAATATTGCAAGAAGTTTGATGGTTTTTCTATCGAGGATCCTCTTATTTTTGCTTATCCTGCTCTATTTGAAATAAACCTTCAGCTGGGGTTTTGGTAAAGGAAAAATGTTATCAGAACACATCATTTCTTCCTGAGGGAATTGGCTGTATTTGGTTTTAAGTTGCATTACAACCACAAAGTAACGGCACTACAGGGCTGGAAAACAGAGCAATATCAACTCCATTGGAGAGTCATGGTTGGGGGAGGAAGATTGTGCTTTTTAATGAAAGCAGCAACAACCCACCATCCTCAGCTCTTCTTTGAATGTCACCACTTAGATTTGCTGTTTCTTTTAGTTAATGTTTGCATGAGCCACCGAGAGAATCCTTGAATAATTTCTTTATGGAGAGAGGGAGTAGCTTGGGTAGGAAATGACATGACAGAGGTACAGCAGGGAATATCTATTATTCAAAAGGGCAACAATGTCATTGTCTATCCTTGGACATGACACTTGTGTTGGGTAAATGCCCATGGACTTGTGCTGATGTCAGCAACTCTGGGTTCCCCACAGGTCATATACTCCATGCTGCAATAGACAGCGCGTTAAAAAGGGAATCCCCATTCACCATATCTCGGAATGAGGCAATAAGTGTTTCCATGCACACTGCATGAAAACATTGTGCATTCATCAGAACGCATCATGTTATTAATAGGGTTGCGTGGAATGGAAAAACAAGCCCTCTCATTGGTTGAGGCTCTACGATCTTATTGCTTTAGTGTTCTGCTCCCATTCTGTACAGTACCTAGAAACTGTATTCAGCAGAACGCCTGTCCCGCTTACAATTGCTTGCTTGCATGACAAAATTCACGAATATGAAAATGCAGAAGAGATGAATGTTGTATCCGACAGCATTCTTTTTGTTTATTGCTGTTAAATAAGTCATAGTGTCTTCCCTCTCACACGACTGCACTTCATTCAGAGGTTTGTATATGTGTTCATTTACATAACAGTCTGCATTTCGGGAAATAAGTACATTCTATTTTTCATATCAATAAGTGAGAAATTCAATATTTATGAATTGCAATATGTTTTGCAGCAGGATAGTGATAATTCAATGAAATAACAATAACAGAAACTGAATAGAACCAAAGGGTTTTTTAAAATAGGAGTAAAGAAAAACGTAAGTGTGTGTGTATTTAAACACATTTTTCATACATGCTTGTAGATAATATGGATTTTGAGAATAAGAAGGTAGGATTGCATTACGTTATACCACATTTGGATTATTGCTTAATCAACTTTGATTCATGCATTTCAACCTTTTTGTCACCATTACCTGTGGAGAAGACGACATTCTTGGAGATTAGATTATGATCCACAATGTCAAACTGGGGCAGTTCGATCCTGTCCACCCCCGTCACAGCCCCGTTTCCTCCCCGCCAGTAGAACTCAATGTCATCTGTAGTGTAGCCATCTAAAACAGGGCACAGAGCACAGGAATTACTGAGGATTGTTAATGGTATGATCAAATATGTATGTTTATAATCATGTCCAATCTGGATCATGTGCAGTCCAGTTAATGAATCACTGTGCATGATAACATTTGCATTTGTCACCAAAGTACACTTGGCTGACAGCAAAGAATAATTGGTCTTTGCTTCACTGACTTAAAAAAGATAGAGATGGAGATAATCCGTAAATTAAGGATGTTTCTCATATCCTACTTGAATTTGTGTGTAAATGCAATTACAGTAAATTAGCAAATACAACTTCTTACTGACTTAGATGCTTCTGGATCTATATAGCCCACATTTACTAGCATATTGTATATAGAGAGCAACATGCAGTGGCAACATTTGATTCTACAGGTGAGAATGAATGGAATTCAATTGCCATGACACCGTCAAGTAGCACCTCTTAGTCACTGTTTTCAGATAAAGTGGGTGATTCATAGATTTATTTGTGCTTTGACACTTTAACAAGTACCAGAGCACACTTTTTTACATTGTAATTATTATTATTATAAAATGATCCACTTGTGTGCTCTTGACCCGTCACTTGTGATAATTGAGCATGGCATAACATCTAACAGTTGTATTTGTATAAAATGGTTTATTTAACCCTCTTTCAATAAGTACTTTTAGAGTTACACACAACTGGCTCAGTACAACCAGTCTATAAGTCTTGAGTATCTCCACAACAGTTCCTTTCCCTCTTCGAATGCAGCTCAACATCATTATCTGAAGTTCCCACAAGCAAAGCACATGCTCATGCCCTGCTACTGTATTCCTAACGATAACTAAATTATGTAAAAGCCTGTTAAAACTATAAATAATGAAAGGAAGTTAAACATAAAACATTCCATATAGTAGCTGAAGGAAAACCTTATGGTGTATATGTGACTAAATATATATATGAGTCAACTTTATTATGTCTTGTTCCATGAGCAATTAAATTATTAAATACCAAGAGCAAGAATGATTAAATAACCAGGCATCCATTTTCATCTGTAAAACCAAGTAAAATCTGTAAAGAGACAGGAAGCAAGTCCATTAATATTAATCTGAACCAAAGCTGGAAGCTCGTTTGCTCTCATTTTGGCCCAATCAGTGGAGACAAGGACAGCAAAGGCAGCTAGTGGGCAGTGGCAATAAATGATTGAGTAACATAGAACTCTGTAGTTCATATGTATAGTTAAAGACAAGGAGTGTTGGAAAAGAAGCGAGAAGAAAAGTAGAAATGTTTCATTAGACCATGAAACGTTCTTTTGCATAATCCACTGCCTACTGTCTGCTCTGGTACATTTGAAATGTCTACTGACTTCAGGGCATAAGAGTATTGGTCTCAGAGAGAGGAGAGGTAGGAGATGAGGAGATGAGAAGAGACAGGAGACAGCTGGGGTTTGTGCGCTAAAACTAAATTAAAACAGCCATTTAAAATAATATGTAAAAAAGCTATTGTCACCATGTAAACCTGCGTGGGTTTGTGAAAGCCTATATCAAATGTAATGAAGTGATTTTTAAGCCTCCCTACACCACGGCAAGTCATCTTACCATCAAAACATGTGGCTTTTAAAAAATAAAGCTACACAGCAGTTAATCTTGTTTTAAAACTCAGATGGCATTACTGTTAGATGTTTGCATTCTTTAGGGAAACACTAAGGTTGAGAATTGACCCAGAGTTCATTTTCATAGTGCAACACAGTACGATTGCTGCATTTTGTAAATGGTAATAGTTCTGACAGCTCATCACAATGAGTGTATTGAAGTGTGAACTGGCTGGGTGGCAAGAGGCCAAAACGGGCAATACACGTTGCTGCTTCAGGACAACAAACTGGATATTATAGCCCTACATCATAAAACTGATAAAAAAAACGAAATAATACATTTAAAAAACCTGTTCAGTTGATCCCAGAGTTGATTTAGTAGTTTTGCATTAAGGTAACAGCAGGAGATGAACTAAACAAATCTGGAACATAATAATCATTTCTGATGGTTGCAACAGTTGTTACAACTGCATGTTCTCGGCTGTGGGGATTTACATGAATGTTAGTAGAATTTGCCTGAGCGATTATTCTTATATCATTTGATCGCATGCGATGAAGTTGACTCTCCTTTTTTGCACTAGCATTTGAGCAGCTAGAAAGTGAATTAAAATGGTTGACATGACCATGTGCAGTGTGTTGGTGTGCGTGTGCCTGTGTGTGTGTGTGTGTGTGTGTGTGTGTGTGTGTGTGTGTGTGTGTGTGTGTGTGTGTGTGTGTGTGTGTAGGATGGCGGTGATGGCAGTGATAGCAGTGATGGCGGTGATGGCGGTGATGAAGGTGATGGCGGTGATGGCGGTGATGGCAGTGATGGCAGTGATGGCAGTGATGACGGTGATGGCGGTGATGGCGGTGATGGCGGTGATGGCGGTGATGGCAGTGATGGCAGTGATGGCAGTGATGGCGGTGATGACGGTGATGGCGGTGATGGCGGTGATGGCGGTGATGGCGGTGAAGGCGGTGATGACGCTGACGGGATGGACGACGAATGAAAGCATGTTTGCCAGACCAATTTAGAGGGAACCCCTACGTTGTTTCACTGATTAGTGCATATAAACTGTTACATGACACATCCTTCCTTTTCTCCAATACTTTCGTTGGTCTTGTATCCTTTTTTCCCCCACCCATTTTCCATAACTTGTTCAATTTGTATCTCCTCTTTTTCCTACCACTCTTTTCCATTTGATTACACTCCTCTTCCTTGTCCCTTTTCGTTATTTCTGTGTCATAACTATTCTGTGTCCATTTATCACTCACTCTACCTTCCTTCTTCTTCTCCCACCCCCTATCCTGCTCTGCTTAATTAATACTTGTGTGACCTATTTAGTTGCTGTGAATTATTAACACAGACTCCTCAGTGGCTGCTCTCAACACCCTCACACTCTGACATCTCTACGTCCTCTTGACGTAAGTGGAGACTGTGCGCACAGCACTCAGATATTCCCCCTTTTAACTCTCAAAAATGATGTATTTCCAAAGCATTTGTGTATAATATAGTCATATGGGAAGTTATATGACATCATCACGTCAAACAAAAAAAAATGAATAGAATTCTCAAAATATATTCCACTGTGAATAAGTAGCCAAAGGAACGATGGAAACATTAGATCAATGTGTTCTCTTCTCGTTCCAGTAGAAAGCCTGGCAGCTGCATTTTGAAACAACTTTCAAACGATTAAGTGCTCCTTTACTAAGTGCAGAGTATCAGGAAATTATATTAGTGGAGATGGGATGAAATAAAGGCAGGTCAGGTCAGGGGCAGGCAGACATAACTTAATTTTAGATACATACCTTAAGTGATAAAACCGTGACTGAACAACCTGCTCTACTGGAGATTTAAAATTGTAATTTGAGTCAATGTGTTCAGTCCGAGGGGATTGTTCATTTTTATTGGTGACCCACTGATCTTACCTCCTGTCACCACCAGATATATATTTAAAATGTAAGGGAAAGTGCAATCACATTTCCAACTAGAAGGGTACTGTGTGAGACCAATAACATTTCCATAGGTACAAATAAAGGTTTGTATCATGGCGTTGATTCAGATCTGCTCAAAATGTAGTGTTCTTACTAGACCCATGCTACCCCCTTCCAGCGAGTTTCATGAGCATTGGGCCAGTAGTTATTTTCCATAATCCTGTTGAAAGATTGACAAACAACCCAAAACAAACACATAACCTCCGTGCCATAGGTAAAAAAGATAGAACCCTAATGCTTTGTACCAGTTCACGACAAAATGTCAACTCTTCCTATGATATATCTAAGAAAATGTAACATATAAATGTCATGGCCTATTCTCTGGCACCTCAAGAGACGCAATTTAAACAAAGCAAAGAAAAGCAAATTTGTCAGTACACTCTTAGTTCCATCTAACACTTTTGTATCATGTGATATAATACATTGCAACATTTTAATGGGGCTATTACAAGTTTACAATCCTTTGTATAAACACTTTTGGTGAAGTGAATGCCTTTGCCTCGACTGTACACAAATCAGAGTCAATGATGTGATCGGGCCCTCATGTGTTTGATTGTCCATTTACCCAATCCACTTAACTCCATTGCTTCTACGAGATTGAAGCTGACTTGGCAATTTTGCGTCACTTCGCTCTCATACTAAAGTTATTATGTCACAGTATTTGGCACAGATAACTTGTCCTAATTCCCATTGCATGACATTAACTGTGATACATTAGAGTGAGTGATAATAAGATCTGCAATTCATTACGCCCGAGAGAGTTAGTCTACTGTATATGTATTAACTTTGCCTTTGAAACAATGGAATAAGGAAAGAGGAAATTAGCTGATTGATTCTTCAAATGCATAATAAGCAAACTCACCCATTCAGTACAAAAATAAAATGGGTGTTACAATGTGTATTTTATGCTAGCACAAAGGCTTCTCTTCCAAAGTCTGGGATTGTTGGCAGGCCAAAAATAAATGAAATTGTCCACGATAGCATCAGAGGAGATAGCAATACAATACCAAAGCTATTTAAACTGGGAAACTGGCATATCTCCCTGACCGAATCTGACTCCAGGCCTTTATATGAAATAATGTCTCAGTTGATCTGTTTTAATGGGCAAAGACGGATTTTGGAGGGAGATAAAACACTGGCTTTGATATTGCTCTTGGCAAAACATAATCAGGCATAACAAAGGTTGTTTTTATACTTCTAAATGGTGTTATGAAACATCATGTATCCAATTTCTAAACTTACAAAATTAGAGTTTATAATCAACACAACTGTAATTGAAAAACATTTTATAGGTTCGCACAGCAGCACTTTAAACAATCACACACACATCCTTTTATCTGATTGTCTTCACATCTATTATGAGAATAGCTTTTTTTACGATTTACAGTGTGTACAGACCCTAGCTGTAGAACAGCCGGAATCAATAGATGTCACAGCAGATGTGAAAGCTAATT